AGAAGCTCTACTTAATGTTATATGACAAGTACCTTAATAAAATCAGTTTATCAAAAGAGTAAGGCAAATGATGACTCTTTCACACAGAATGTTAACTCTTTAAGATAAGCTATAAAAAGAGGAAAGTAATAATGTTATCATGTCCAAAACTCTGAGCCCACTTAACAGAATCCACTGGGGGCTAGCTTCTCTCTGGCTCACAATGCCTCTTGACTGGTACCCTAAACAAACTACAAAATAACCATCATCTCCACCTCATCTCTTCCCACTTGCTTTGTAGAGATGTGAAAGCACGGATTATAGTTTGCATTGGCAGGAAGCTTAAAGGATTGGTCAGTCTACTTTCCTCATTAGGGTAGAAGTCTCCAGGCACGTGACTCTCATACTTTCCAAGCTATAAAAAATAAAGAATGTCTATTTTTCCTACCTGTAAATGGGGAATTCCTTTCCTCTTTCACAGATAGCCAAAGCAACACTAAATAGTTTCAAATTTACAAAAAAATGCAAAACATAAGCCTCTGATGATTATTACAATTAAAATGATTCCTCCTTCACGTTATTGCCAGAAATTCTTAGAAATGCACCGATTACAACTGCTCTATATTTAACTTTATGATAAAAGAGTGAACATACCATAGCCCTCTTCATTCAATGTCCACAAACCAAAATACTCTTAAAATGTTACCTAAAAATTTCCATAGTTTAAAATTAGTCTCACGGTAAAAAGTAAATATTTTACTATTTCTGTCATTACCTTTTCTACATCTGTGTTTAAAAATAATAAATAAAATCAGCCAAATCCATTGCTCCACAAGTAAGAGTCCAGAGGCAATGAAAATATGTAGCATAAGAATCTACTCAAAATATGCTTTTAGTTTTTAGACTTTAGTGGAAGGAAGGAAGAAGGAAATAAGAACGGAAGAGAAAGGAGGGAGAAAGGAAGAGAGGGAAGAAAATTTTTTCCTAAATTTAAAAGAAAAACAGCAAAGCAAAAAAAAAAAAATTAATAAAGATACATAAATCAAACATTCTAAAGCTTAAAAAAAAGGAACATACTGTACTAAGAATGAGACCATATATTATGTATTATGGGGTTAGAATATTCATCTTAGAACAAGAAAAGTAAAGGATATGCCAAGAATATACATCACTCATCATCATAAAGGAATTGGTATTTGACACTCAGAAAGCTGCCTTCCTTAGTTGTGTGTTTATGCCCAGACTTACATTAGCATTACAAAAGTGAAAGAAGTCACTCAGCTAACCATATGTTGCCATATCACCCCCATTATGCAGGCCAATGGTGTGGAACAAAACAAAAGGAGGTTGTCAACCCCTAGCAGAGGCTGTTCTCCCTCAGTCTTTTAAAATAATGCTACCAAGAGCAGTAACATTTTTCAAAGACATAATAAGCAATAACGCCTATAAGCTCTTGTCAGATAATCTTTCTTTCACCGTCTCACACCACCGGTCTGAATGCAGAAGAGGGGAGAAAAAAAATCTTTCTCCCTTACCCTACTCACCACAAGGCAGCTAGAACCTGGGATGACACTTGCCTATTTCCAACAGGGAAAGAGGTCCACCCACACCGGAGCAGCCACAGGAGGCATAAACGAAAGGAACAGTGTGAAAAGAAATGCAGAACCATTCATATAATTCTAAAATTTATATTGTGTGGCAACCCAGCGTCTCATAGGAAAACAATTACTTTCACTCTTGCCTCCTACTGCAGCTCCGACCTTTCCTGGTTGGTGAGTCAGTAGGAGGTAAAAATGAAAGCGCATATTTTTTCCCTTTGAAACGCAGCGATTGTTCAAAACTGTGAACTTCAAAATCATAACACGAACTGCCTAATTTTGAGGTGCTTCTCTTACTGCCTTCACTAGAAACAATGTAATATGAAATGTGTGTGTGTGTGTGTGTATGTGTGTGTCTAAAACTGGCACTAAGCTATATCCATGCAATAGAAAGAAGTTGTTACTTGTTATAATCTTGATAATATAATTTATGACCATAACAAAATATAGGGAGTACTTTAAGAAACAAAAAATTCCCATCTTCAAATTAAAATACTAGCCTTACTTGAAGCCAAAACACCTCTTTACTCGATACAGAGAATTCAGTAAGTATAAAGAAGAAAGGTAATTTAAAATTATAATTACATTTAAATAAGGAGTAATTAAATTCAACTCAAATTAGGGCTAATTTAAGGAGTTACAGATTGGTTTCAATTACACGTCCTTATTGAGCCTCTGCTACATGCTAGGGAAGCACCACAAGCTTACCAAGGGAACTAAGACACAGTCCTTATGCTCAAGGAGATAATAACCTAACAGGACAGATAAGGAAAATATGCCCATATGAAAATGATGAAAAAGTGTCATGAATACCAGAAGGGAGATGCAAAAAATGTATCATCCAATTTCCATGAAAAGGAACCATCAGTCATTTTTAGGTAACTTTTGAAAGATGGTCAGCTTTAGATGGTCTTTGAAGGGCAGACAGAATTTCAAAAATTGGAGAAGATGAAGACAAAATAAGAAAAGTCACAGAAGCAGAAGAGTATTTTCTGCACAGTATTTTCCAAACTGCACTTCACAGAACATTGATTTTGAGAAAAGTCAGTAGATACATTAAAAAAAAAAAGAGGGGGGAGGCTTCCACAATCAAATACTTTTGGGAAACATTATAGATTATATAGGAGCTCTGATAGCATAGTGCTTAAGGCACTTGACTGCTAACCAGTCAAACTCATCAGCCATTCCCTGGAAGGAAGGTTTGACAATCTACTTCTGTAGTGATGTTGTTGTTGTTGTTGTTATGTGCCATCCAGTTGGACCCGCTCATAGTGACCCCTCCTTGGGTTTCCAAGGCAGTATCACTATGGGAGTAGATTGCCCCATCTTCCTTCCCAGGAGCGGCTGGTGGATTTGAACCGCCAGCCTTCTGGTTAGCAGTCAAGTGACTTAGCCACTATGCTACGCCTCGGAAACCCAAGGAGGGGTCGTTATGAGTTGGGGCCAACTCAACAGCTCATAACAACAACAACAACATACGCTATATATGGCCCACTCAGAAATTCACAATGCACATTAGTATAAGAAAGGCTTTTAGGAAGTACTGCAGTAACGTAACTGTTACCCTATTACCCTAAGTCTCTCAAGCCCATTTTGGGTACAAAACTCATTTGAAAGAACATCTATCAATTTCTCAAACAATTTAGAAATATTAGTCTAAGTAAAGGAACACTGGTGACATAGTGGGTAAGGCATTTGACTGCTAACCACAAGGCCAGCAGTTCAAACTCACCAGCTGCTCTGCGGGAGGAAGATAAGGCAACCTACTTCCAAGATTGACACCCTGGAAACCCAACGGGGTTGCCATGAGTCGGAATCGACTTGATGGCAGTGAGTTTGTGTTCTTTTTTTTGTTTGGTCTAAGCAAAATTGGTACAGTAAATCCAAACCAAAAAACCAAACTCACTGCCATCGAGTTGGATCTGACTCATAGCGACCCCCTATTGGGTTTCCAAGGCAACATCACTACGGAAGTAGATTGCCCAAACTTCCTTCTGAGGAGTGGCTGGTTGGTTTGAACCTCCAGCCTTCTGGTTAGCAGTCAAATGCCTTAGGCACTACGTCACCAGAGCTTCCACAATAAGGCCAGCAGAGTAAATTTCAGACATATTTCAGGCACCAAACTGAGAAATACAGTTTGTATGAACAACAAAAACATGGGGCTCCCTCTATATAGTGGTATTTGTTATTTTTAAAATAGCATTATATTGAGCTTTATGACAGGCATTCATAATTAATGCAGAGTGCTAAATGATGAATTAATAATGTGTGTACATTTTTGTACTGAAACATTCTTTTTACTTCCATTTATAAGAAATGAGCAACTATGTAACAGAAGAAAGACTATGAGAAAGAGAATATTAAATGACAACTATGGAAAGCAATTGTAGACAAGACAGGACCAGCTGGTCAACTCAGGAGCAGGCACAAAAAATAGAGACACTCCCATAACGTGGGTGCAACCTCAGGTTTTTTTCTTCCCCTTAAGCTTAAGTTTAAGGAGCTCTAGTGGTGCAATGGTTAAGGCATTTGGCTGCTAACCAAAGGGTCAGTGGTTGAAATCCACCAGCTGCTCCACAGAAAAATGATGAGGCAGTCTGCTTCCATAAAGATTTACAGGCTTGGAAACTCTATGGGGTCGTTAGGAGTTGGAATTGACTCAATCACAGTGACTTTGGTTTTGAAAGCTTAAGATTAACCCTCAAAGCCTATCACTCACTCACTCCCTCATTCACTGTCACTGAGTTGATTCTGACTCACAGCAACCCCTTGGGTTTCCAAGGTTAAAAATCTTTACGGAAGTAGACTGCCCCATCTTCCTTCCGCGGAGCAGCTGCTGGGTTTAAACCACTGACTTTCTGGTTAGCAGCCAAATGCCTTATCCACTATGCCACCAGAGCTCCTTATGTATCACTTTGTTGTTGTTGTTGTGTGCCGTCGAGTCGGCCCCAACTCATAGCGACCCCTCCTTGGGTTTCCTAGGCAGTATCACTATGGAAGTAGATTGCCCCATCTTCCTTCCGAGGAGTGGCTGGTGGGTTTGAACCGCCAGCCTTCTGGTTAGCAGTCAAGTGCCTGAGCCACTATGCTACTAGAGCTCCTATGTATCACTTAGCAAACCCAAATTTAGGAGTTATAAATACTTCCCTGTAGTTACTTTCCTCAGAAAGAAAAGGGAAATAGCCTTTAGGTTACTAAATTAAATGCCAAAGCTGCCTCCCTCCTGGTCCCCCTGCCATCATGTTTGTAGATGAGAATTAAGTATTTTAAAACAAAAACAATTCTGCCTAAAACTTGGAAAGTCATAATTAGTATTTTTTTTTTGGGGGGGCTACTTAAGTTCCTAAAGGAAATGTAAATGTGCTACTTCCTTCTTCACACATTTAAAATAGATTTATGCCAGCCCTAATTAGAATAAATTACCTGTGGTTGGAACTGAGGAACAGGTGGCCCTTGCATTCCTTGTGATTGCTCATCCATTGTCTGATGAAACAGGAACTTTAGAATTCTGCAAAAAAAATGTACAGTTGAAGATTAATTAATGTAATCATTACCACTTCATGTTGCTTCTCATATGCCTGATGCTTTCATTGAAATACTAGAAATTTACTTTATGCTTCAGAAATTATGATATCTCACTATTATTTTTCCCATTAACTAAATCCAAGCTCTGTTTAATTCTCACATTCACTGACTCAACCATTTCTACTTCTCCAAAGTAGCATTATGTGCTTAAACATTCCTCCCATATATTTCCCGAGATGAAATTCCTTCTTCTCCATTACACCTTATAAATCAGAGGTTTCCCTTTACCCTGCCCAATATGAGGAGATAATTGCCATGGCAACCTTTCAATAATCATACTCAATATTTTACATCCCTAAAATGCACCTCATCTTCTCAGTTTTAAAAAGTAAATATTTTTGTTTTATATCTCTTACTGGAATGTTTACTATCATTCTTAGGATTACTTTTAAAAGGCCAGTCCTCATAGAGTACTTACTCTTTTCTCCATATTTTGCTTATAAGTATAACACAGTCATCTTTTAATTCAGTAAACATATGCTGATGATCAATTATATGTCAGGCAGTAAATAATATTCATAAAACTTAAATATAAATAGAGTCCAGCCCTTGTCTTCCACAAGCTACTTCTGCACTGATACTAATACAAACACAGAGTATTTCTAGGTTCTTTCTATGTATTATTTTATAAGTAAAATATTATAGGTCAACAAAAGCTGCCTCTTGTAGTTTCATTTATCTGCTTATATCTGCACTGATGGGCCCCATCTTTACAATCATCAATACCTATAGACATGGAGGCAACAAAAAGTATATTTAAACAAACTTTTGTAGCAACTGACAAGAGTCCCTGGGTTGTGCAAACACTTCATGTGGAAAGGTTGGAGATTCAAGTCCAATAAGAGGTACCTTGGAAGAAGCCTGATGATCTACCTACAAAAAGCCAACAAAAACCCTATGAAGCACAGGTCTATACTAACACACAAGGTCAATATAACTCAAAATAGATTTGATGGCTACTGGTTATAGATTAAGAAGCTCTGGAGGCACAGTGCTTAAGACATTTGGCTACTAACAAGGTCGGTGATTCAAACCCACCAGTCACTTTGCAGGAAGAAAATGGGGGAATCTACTTTTGTAACTGCCTTGGAAATCCAATGGGGGTCATTATGAGTCGGAATAGACTTGATGGCAGTGAGTTTGGGTGTTTTGTTTTGGGTTTTTTTTTTTTTGGTTATAGATTAATTTGAGAAGAACTGACAACTTAACATTGGTTCTTCTGATCCATGAACACAGTATATCTCATTTACTTATGTTTTCCTTTTCTATCTTTCAGCAATGGTTTTCAGTGTGCTAGTCTTTCACTTCTTTTGAAGGTTTTTCCATATGTATTTTATATTTTTTGATGCTACTGTAAATAAAAAAAATTATTAAATTTCTGTTACTGATTGTGTTTTGTTAGTGTAAAGAAATATAATAATACGATTCTATATAGACTTTTTTGTAGACCTCAGTATATTTTCTACCAAGAGTATCAGATCATCTGTGAATAAAGACAGTTTCACTTATTTCCTTCTAATTTTCATGCATTTTATTTCTTGTTCTTGTCTTTCTATACTGGCTAGAACCTCTAGTACAATAAATAGAAGTAGTGAGAGCAGACTTCCTTTTCCCTGGTCTTAAAGAGAAGATATTCAGTCTTTTACCATTAAGTGTAACACTCTTGTTGTTAGGTGCCATCGAGTCAGCTCCAACTCATAGCGACCCTTTGTACAGCAAAATGAAACACTGCCTGGTCCTGCACCAGCCTCACAATTCTTGCTATATACTTGAGTCCACTGTTGCAACCACTGTCTCAATTAATCTAGCTGAGGGCCTTCCCCTTTCCTGCTCACCCTCCACTCGACCAAGCATGCTATCAACTCTTCTTCAGTCTTCTTTATTTGTTGTCCAGCTTTCACATGTAAAAGACCTCTTTAAAGTGCTGAAGAGCAAATAAGTCTCTTTGAAGACTAAGGTATGCCTAACCCAAGGCAAGGTGTTTTTAATCGCCTCACATGCATGAAAGCTGTGCAATGTATAAGGAAGCCCAAGAAGAGTTGATGCTTTTGAGTTGTGGTGTTGGCGAAGAATACTGAAAGCACCATGGACTGCCAGAAGAACTAACAGATCTGTCCTAGAAGAAGTGCAGTTGGAATATATTCCTTGGAAGCAAGAATGGTCAGACTTAGTCTCACCTACTTTAGCCACGTTGTCAGAAGGGGCCATTTCCTAGAGAATGATATCATGGTTTGTAAAGTGGAGGGTCAATGAAAAAGGGGAAGACCCCCAACAAGATGGATTGACACAGTGTTTGCAACAATGGGCTCGGGTACAGTAGGCATTGTGAGGCTGGCACAGAACCAAACAGTGTTTCATTCTGCTGTATCTAGGGTCGCTATGAGTCAGAGCTGACTTGATGGTCCCTAACAACAACAATAACTTCCCATGCTCCCACAAAACCTGCTTCTCCTCAGTCTTCTTTATCTCTTTATATGTATCACCATATACTCAGCTAGTCTATCCCCACAGTTCTTTTGGGTCTCCAGACCACTTTATCTGAGAATACCAAAGACTTTTTGTTTGTAGCATTACATCTATTAATATTTCTCATATTAGAAATTACAAATGAGAAAATTTTAAATACATATTAATTCATTTACAAAAAGCAATAAATCCACTATGTTTTTATACATTTTTATACAAAATAATGATATTTTCCAAAGATATTAGTTAGAAGTGGGGTGCTGTTTTACATTTTGCAAATTTCTTTAATGTCTGGCTTCATAAAGCACTTTCTGCATTAAATATGTTAAGACATGTTGTTTTAGTTGAAGTATATGAAGAAAATCTGGCCTTACACAAATATGTTGTTGTTGTTGCTGTTGTGTGCCATCTAGTCGGACCCGACTCATAGCGACCCCTCCTTGGGTTTCCGAGGCAGTATCACTATGGAAGTAGCTTGCCCCATCTTCCTTCCGAGGAGTGGCTGGTGGGTTTGAACCACCAGCCTTCTGGTTAGCAGTCAAGTGCATTAGCCACTATGCTACCAGAGCTCCCTACACAAATATATACTAGAAAAAGAGAAGCGTATTTTAAAAGTATTTTTATATTTCTGTGGCTATTCTTCTCTGAAATATAAAAATACATTTAAAATACACTTCTCTTTTTTTTATTATATATTTGTGTAAGGCCAAATTTTCTTCATATACCAGCCTCTCCTCGGAAGGAAGATGGGGCAATCTACTTCCGTAGTGATACTGCCTCAGAAACCCAAGGAGGGGTCGCTATGAGTCGAGTCCGACTCACTGGCACATAACAACAACATTCTTCTTTGATACTGTATCAAACCAGATATAGTATAGGTGGTAGATTCTTAAAGTTAGCTGCAAATTGGAATCTCAAATCACATCAGTAAACCATTATACTCTATTATGTTAAAAAAAATTGGCCTATCTTGCTTATTAAGGAGCTCTAGTGGTGTAGTGGTTAAGGCATTTGGCTGCTAACCAAAAAGCCACGGTAGTTTGACCCACCAGCCACTCTTTGGAAAAAAGATGAGACTTCCATCAAGATTTACAGCCCTGAAAATCCAACAGAGGTCTCTATGAGTCAGAATTGAAATGATGGCAGTGAGTTTAGTTTTTTAGTATCTTTCCCTTTCAACAGATCTGTACTCATTCATGATTTTGAACATCATACATGCACTGGTCATCTGGAAGTTTTTATTTTACTTAGTTATGCAGATCTTCCAAATGTTAATCATTTCATTAAACAAAATTTAAAAATCATGCTCATTAATATCACCACTGATGGCATCAGAAAAGTCTTTAAATAATGGAAAGCTGTCACAGTCATAGTGATGAATATGAGTTTTCCAAAATTCTAATTTGTGCTTCAAAACTTGAATTTTATCATTGACAACAAATAATGACAATTGCTTTCCTCAAAGTGGCAGGCACTTCATTAATTTTCATTAAATGTGATCTGAATAACCATAGTTTATCAGTTCTTTCAAGTAAAAATTGCGATCCATGAAAATAGCAGCTATTGCCCAACCTTCCTTTCAAGGAGTGTTGGGCAATCCTACTTCCGTAGTGATACTGCCACAGAAACCCAAGGAGGGGTCACTATGAGTTGGGGCTGACTTGATGGCACACAACAACAACAACAACATTCTATTTGCTATTCAAACAACACAAATGTTTCCAAGAGACAAATTTTATTTGCTGCAGTAATGCTTTTAAGCATAGTTCCTATTTTGTCACACATTATGTTAAGAAAATGTACTCATAGGGCAAGATTTGGTAATAACAATACGCTTTTACTGTTTCATCAAGGGCATTTTTAAATAAAATTGGATTTTTTTCTACAAATGTGTGATCTAAAGAATATAACGATCAGTAGTGTAGTGCAGCTACCTTGATTCATGCTAAGCCATCAGCAGTTTTGCAAATAATTTCTCAGTATTATTATAGAAATAGTTTTGACCTCAAAGACCACATGAAAGAGTCTCAAGGACCCATCCCTACTCCCATCATCCCCAGAAATATGCATATCATACTTTGAAAAGAGCCGGTCTAGTCAAAAACCTAAAAGTCACCCTTTATTCTTCCCTTTTCCTCATCTCCCCACTCTTCATACTCATATCCAACCCATCAATAAGTAACATTTGTTCTATTCCCAAAACGTAACTCAAATTTGTCCATGTTTCTCCATCACCACTAATACTACCTTAGGACAACCTATCATGTCTCTACCTATTGTTCTCAAGTCCCATCAAGTTGGTTCCGACTCACAGTGACCCTATGTACAACAGAGTGAAACACTGCCTAGTCTTGCATCATCATCACAATCAGTGCCATGTTTGAGCCACTGTTAAGCCACAGTATCAGTCTATTTCATTGAGAGTCTTCTTCACCAACCCTTTACTTTACCAAGCAT